GTCGTAGGGGACAGAGGCCACCGGAGCCCGTGCATCCTGACCACGAGACGGCCGTGGGAGAACAGAAACCTGGCTCATTCAGAGACGCCCCTGCCACGTCTTACCAGGCTGCCGTGCCCGTGGCCGTGCCGAACAATTCTGGCCGCCTGCGCCCTCAGAGCTGTACTTCGATGCGGCCTTCACACATATGAAGATGTAAGCCCTGGGCACCCACATTGGGACCAGCACGAACCACTTTGCTGTCTGCGTGTATGGCAACATGGGGTCTGCCCCTTTAGGGTTACGTTTGCAAATACGTATTACCTTTCTAATTTTATGTAGCAGACTGCCTTTGGGAAACTGTAGCATAACATCCAAAGTTAGGAGGCCATAGAGGTAATTGCAGAAGTAATTTAATACATTGTAAATCCCTCTGCTTCCATCCCTTCAAATGGGATGCTAAAAGCTATTAAAGACTAAAAACATATCACAAGCAAATTCACATGATAAATTGCTGTAATCACTCAGCCCGATTAACCCAGGCTCAGGAGCCTCTGCTCGGTTTCCAGCCACCATGCGCTCCGTGGGCTGAGGGTGGAGCCAGGCTGCTGTGCACCTCACCTGTCCTTTTAGGAAAACAGGGCTTTCTCTTTACCAGCAGGTGCCTCTTCTTTTAATGTCTCCAACCTGCAAGGGAAGGAGACACATGTTTGGAAAAGCAAGCATCTGGACTAAGACACTCATTAGCTTCCTTATAAGACAAAACCAAGTTCCCCAAGGATGCTGCTGACATCTGCGTAAGTGCAGAGAAAACCCTGTCTCGGGGGTGAAACCAAGAAGAGCAAACCATTGGAGGCAATGTGGTTGGTCCACTTGATCCAGTGCAGGCTGGCTGGATGACACGCTGTGGGCACCCCTGGGGGCAGAGCAAGGTTTGGATTGAGTTCTGCCCCTGTCCCGAGTTTGGATGCCAAATCCTATTACAGAAAACCAGGGATGTGGTTTTGGGGGAGCGAATTTCCCACCTGGAGGAAACACAAATCTCTGAGTGTTAAGGTTCCAGGGCAGCATCAGAACCAAACCTCACCAGCAGATGGAAAGACTCTCAGCAAACAGTGTGGTTTTGTGCAGGCAGAGTAGCAGGTGGAGAGGCCACCCTGACCACAAGGCATCAAACCCCAGGCGTGTGGGAGATATCCACCTGCAGTGGGCTGTTTTGAAGAGAGGGGGAAGGGTGGCCATGCCTGTCCTGGTTCAGTCGTTAGCTTAACCACCTTGTTTAGTAATCTGTGTACTCTGTTTCCACCTGGCAAGCTGGGGTGCCCTGGGGCCAGCAGGCATGTCCATCAGTGAATGAAGATGGGGTGCAGGGCTGTGGTCGGGCTGCCGCCTCTCCTGACCTACCACGGGACCCCTACAGGTTGCCTGCCCCAAGCACCCACTAACTCATAACCTGGGCTTGAGTGAGGCTTGGTCTTCGGTTGCGCAAGCAGCAGCCCCTGTGGCCAAGCCCTTCATCCAGGTGGCTAACTGAGGAGGAAGCCACGTTGGCTTCAAGACAGCCCCTTGCCAGAGTAGAAGGACCCAGAGTGGTCCTACTCTGGCACCCAGGCTCGAGTGTGGCTGGCCAGCATAATGTTGGATGGCACACGGTGGACATACGACCACCAGTGGACATACGACCACCACTGCTGGGGAGGAAACGGATGTGGCTCTTGCCACTGCCCAGCCCTGGCTACTCGGCAAGCCAGGGCTCGAGAGTAACAGCACATGCCCTCCCTATTTGTCCAGCTCTAGAATTTATTCCTGGAATCAGTTAATTTTTATTAAAGCAAAGGAAAGACCATAACTTCATATATTTGCATTTTCAGGCTAGAGCTGCAGTGTCCGCTGCTGTGGCCATGAGCCACATGTGGCCACTGGGTACCTCCATGGGGCTGGTTCTAAAGTGCAAGACACACTGGATTTTGAAGACCTTGTGTGAAAATAGAGTAAATTACCTCCCTAATAATTTAAAAATACCGATGACATGTTGAAATGATACCATTTCACATATGTTGCGATAAATAAAAGTTATCATTCAAATGAATAGTTGAAATTCAATTTTTTACTTAATTCGTTCTACTTACCATTAGAAAATGTAAAATTCCACACATAGCAGGCACTCTCTTTGTAGGGGACAGCGCTGGTTTAAAGGGCTGTGTGAATATCTCGGTCCCAGGGACATGTCCTCATCGCAGCAGGTGCACCTGCCTTACATGAGATGGATCTAAGAATGAGCGACTCAAAAAGGCTGTTTCAAATTCAGGCCGCACGTGAAGCTCTCTCTGCCACTCCTTCCACAGTGATGGAGAAGTGTGGGCTTGGGTGGGCAGGCACACGGTGGGTCCCTTCAGCTGACCCACAGCCGTGGCCACTGCCCCTGCAGGGGTACAGCCCTCGAGCAGATGGCCGGGGCCCCCAGCCAATGTTGCCAGAGGGTCTCAGCTTGAAACACGCACCTCTGCGTGGTCGTATTTGGGGCACTTGGACCATGGAGGGCCAGGCCTTTGTGCTGAGGAAGTTCCCCAGTGGTCCGAGTGCCTTTGTGCTGAGGCTGTCTCAGAATGCGAAGTTCGCAGTGATATTTTAAGGGACCAGCTTGCTTGATTAGTGACACTGTTGAGAAATGATCCCCTCAACCCAAGTGAAAGGCATCCTGACATTGGGGGACAGTAGATAAACAGCTTTGCAATTCAAAGCATTTTAACTTTTACTTAAACAAAGTTATTTAAAGGGTTTATGACTAGTTAAATGGTTCTCTTTAAAAATTATTTTTCACCCAAGAGATTTTTTCCTTCACCTTTTCTTATTATTTCACATAAATTAGTGTCCACATCTCAGAGATGCTTCAGGCTCTGATTTCAAACACGTGGCCCAAGTGGACACACTATCTAAAAACTAAAATTATGAGTTGTCACAAATGAACACTACTTTGATATTAAGATTCAATCATATTCAAACAAATAAGTGGAAATCAAATACTTTATTCTGAGTACAAACGATGTAGTACACGTGTAGTCTCAACCAGAAAAAGCAGCTCTGTTTCAGACTGTAGGTAGCTCGTGAAGTTGGTCAGGATCACTTAGAAATGACCCCCAGCATGAATGACCTGGGGTTTGCAGTTGTCCTGCCCTTAGTTGCCCAGAGAAGATTTGAAACTTAGTTTCCAAAACTCAGCTCCATGAATGTGCAAAACTAATAAACTAGTCTGTTAGGGTAAAAGACAACGGAAAAATGAAACTGGAAATGAGCAGAAACCAGTATTAAACATACATCTTTATGAATACGACTCAACCACACACCTCATTTTGCAAATATAAAAGGGCTTTTGTATTAATTAAAGCTAAATGCTACAGATAGGCTTTGTAGGGCGGCAGTCCTCTCCAATTAGCATAGTATTAACCACAGCCGAGAAAATTGGGTTAATAAAGCCAGATATTGTAGCAGAGAAGCCTGGGCACAAACTGGGCAGACGGCTCAGTCCCCAGGGCACT